AAATCTACGCAGAGAGTTGTCATACGATTGGGAACTTGATCTTGCAGACATTACAGGATCTACCCAGCCCATCCGTCAAGCAATATGGGACGCATTCCCTCCGTTAGGAACTGGCGGTGTCGAGACACTCCCCATCTTCAATGCAAATTTTCGTATTGTAGGATGGAACTTGTCTGAGAAGTTCGACCTTGGATGGTTCACATCAAACGCTGCAGAGCCGCATGCCTTTTTTGAGTCACTCATCATTACCCCGGCAGGCGGGTCTCAAGCCTCGACTATCAAGCAATACATGAAACAGATGTGGCCTTCAAGTTGGCAAGACGTTCTCCATCTGTTCCAGGCCATCATTCAAAAAGCCTATGAAGAGGTCCAAATTGGTAAGGTCCCAGCCTTCGCCTAGGCCAAGGTCAGAAAGTGAACTAAAACAAGGTACTAACAAAGCGATAGCACTTCCAGAAGATGGAAAAATGCACGCCAGTCGTGATGGAAACGACCTGATTATCACGGTTCAAGGGCATGCCCATATTGCCGCTGAGTATGGCGATCAACTTGCTTGGCTTACAGCTGCCATGCTTCATCCCCATGAGAATCACATTTTTTACTGTATGCCTCATATAACAGTCCACACAGATTATTTAGTGAACAATAACCCACAACCTTTGGGCCAGCCGACATCAAGGACCTTTGCATTAGATGCAGAGATTCTTAGACCAGATACACGATTTTCGCCAGTGGGGCGCTGGGAGACTCTGTTGGGGGGCAAGTTTGCGGTCGTCTTGGGATATCCGACTTTAAGTCGACCGGGCGGTTATCCTGGCCTCGAGGTCTCTCTGAAAGTAATCTTCAGAATGCTCGAAACACCTGCTATAATCATTGAAGATGGTCGAGCTTTCATTCGTGGGTCAGAAAGAGCTCTGGTACTCACTAAGCAAGGAGATGGTATCTTCCTCTGGCATTGGCTCCAAGAACCCAGCAGATATGCCTGCCAATGTGGCTCTGCTGCATCACAGAATCCGGGTGGAAGGGTTTGCTCTACCAACCTTCGCGAATTACAAACGGCCCGTCACATAATCGGTCAATGCGATGACGGCATAGTCATTCGTCAGCGTAAGGTTGTCTTCTATTCTGCAAAAATACTCGTCACAGCTGACATGGCTACTGAAACCAGCGAATAGTTCAAGAGATGAATTTGCTTGTGGGAACTACCAGAGCACATGCAGCAGCCATGATCGCGGCAGGGCACCGACACCAGACCCTGATTCGCTACTTGCAGAACAGACCAGTCAAGCCAACACTATCCTATCATCGGGTCTCGCTGAAGAAATGGTCGTATCAGCCTTCGGAGCTGATTCTACCTTACGTCCAAACGCACCATCACCGAGCAGCAGCACCTGCTTTGGAGAGTCATGTGGCGAATCTAGCACAGAATCTTCGCTGGATTCTTATCTGCTCTCTATGTCGGATCCTTCAGAAGAGTTTGAGCCTTTGGAAGATACCGATCCACGCGTCGTGGTCCTTAAAGCTATAGCTTCTCGCCTGGTATTGGAATCTCGTAGCGTTGGCAAAGGAGAGGCTCCAACGACCGCAAATACCCCACGGTCGAAGACAACATCCATTCCTCAGGTGGTTGAGACTTTGCCAAAGTCGACACAGGAATGCCGAAAGAGAAAGCACCCTGATCAAGAAAATGAAGACTCAGACTCAGAATTTTCTCCTAAACGGCCCTCCAAAAAGCTGAACGCTGAGCCTGGGCCCGTTCAACACTTCGCCTGTCCCTTTTGGAAACTAAATGCCACGAGGTATCCCAAATGTTTCCCCCTCAAACTCGTTCGAATACGAGATGTCAAGCAGCATCTTGGGAGACAACATACACCTAATTATTACTGCGATCGGTGTTCGTCAATCTTCAAATCTGATTCTGAACTTCGCGAGCATGTTTCTCAGGACGCAGGGCTGTTCTGTGCCCCTTCCGCGACTCTGGAAGGTATATCGCGTCGACAAAAAGCAGAGCTTACTCGTAAATCGGACCCAAAGCTCTCCCCTGCAGAACAGTGGTTTGTGATTTGGGGGATTGTATTTCCGGGTCACGGAAGGCCAGCCTCCGCCTACATGGACGCCGGAGTGGCCGAAGACGTTTACTTATTTCGAGACTATTGTCGCATCCATGGAGAAGCTGTTCTGGCAGAGGAATTTGAGGCTACGGGTATGACAGGGATGATCTCATTAGTTGACGAAGAACTACAGAGGCTCATGAGAAGAGTCTTGAGTGAAGGCTTTGACATACTCTTGCAGAGATGGCTTTCGAATCGACCTTTGGGCTCAAGAATACCTCAAGAAACGGCGCCGAGGAATCAAAGCAGCAATCATCCGCTTGTGGTGTCTCAAACACCGGCTGATTCTAACATCGACAGTGGGGTTTTCTCAAGGTCCCAGAGTTTGCGCAGGTGGTCGGATACTTATACCGACGCGCCAACAATGGTTGCGTCAGAGGCAAACGTCCGACAACCACCATATAACCACCAACAGCGAACTGCAGGAGACACCACGATGGGAGTAATGTCTACTTTCTCTGACACACCACGATCGGATACTTCTTATGCATATCTTCCATCGATGCATATGTCTTCAGCCCCCCCAGTTCAATATCTTGGCTTTCATGAAGATCTGACAATAGACCTAAACAGCTTTGATTTTACGATGCCCGAGACTGCGCCAGATTACCCTCAAGGCTTTACAATAAACGAATCACAGTCAGAAAACCCGTCGGCGGCAGAGTAGTCAACGTCAAAACTGAAGATTGTCTATCCATGAACAGTGAAGCCGGCGTAGTGGTCTCTTCTTTTTTCAATCACTTCACTGTCTTCAAATTATGTGTATTGAAGGCTGGTATAGGCTGAGAAATCGCAAAAGCAGAGTTCTAGATCAGATTTGTTGGCTCATGCAGTCAGGTTGATGAGGGCCTTGTCAGATACAATGGGTGACTGCCGAGCACCACAGCGGTCAAGTGAATAACACTAGCCAGATCGCAATTCTCAAACAATGTGGTCGACCGGGCAACTCTTGGCCTTCAATGATCATTTCTTTGGCGCTTTTTCAGTTGAACAAAATCTTAATCACCGTTATGTTTAATGCCAGCAGCCCATAACATCTCAGTTCCTTGCTTTATCAGTCATCGGTCTTACCGTCATATTTTGATGTGCTCTGTCCACGACCCTCGCCCACTTCTAGCCCGTCTCTACCTCCAATTTTTCGCTTTATCCCTCAACAGCTTCTGTCAAGGTAGCCTCGCATCCCTGTCTAGAGCGGCATCAGAGAGTAACGAACTTGGGTTGACGATACTTCGGTGTTGACCACCACCATCGTTCCCCACCTCTGTCGTGGATATAGGTCGATTACCAACGAAATCAACAGATCACTTCAAGCTCAGTTTGCGAAAGACTTCCCCGTTACAACCTTCTGATTTCGAAATGTATACATAGTACAGAGCTTTATTCTAACGTCCGCATGGACCGAGAGCTCTTACTTCTCGCAAGACATTACGCAACTCAGTCCTGAGGTGATACCAGTTTGTCCCAAGTCATCAGCTACTCGGCAAGGCATTTCCAAGTGCTCTTTTTCTTGTCGGTCTTGAAACTTTTGCTGCCTGCTACAACTTGGTGATAGAGTTTTTCCGCAATAACTAGAGGGGCCACAAAGTAACTGTTCATGATGATAAATGAATAGATGTCGCAGTCTTCGGGCTTCTAACACGTCAGCTTCATTGATGAGCGGCGTAGTGGTATACCAAGATTACCCTACACCCTTGGCGATGGAGGTATGTTTGATGCCGAGCACATCTTGGCACTCTGCAAGTCTTTATTTCGCTTGAGTCTATGCGTCTTCAGTTTGGGACTCTGAGAAAAGCTTGCCTCAGAATAGGCATCTTGACGACTGAGAAAACAAGATTTGTACACAAACCCAAGACGTAATGTTATAGCATGATCTCGGCCCGGGCATGCTAGTAAACGTGCTCACTCATGAGCGTTCATGATTCCCGGCTCCTAGAGCTTCGCTTCTACCCCTCGAACATGACCTAGTCTCAGCACACCCCAAGACATGCATTTCTTTACACCCGCACCAGCATGAAGCACCTATTATGAACAAGGAGGAACCCGCAATTGTGTCTTTCAAACTGTTTGCCCGGACTTGTTGTATCTCAGTAAGGCTGGCCGCTTTGCTGATGTCGCGTCGCTCTCACAAGTTTTGTCACCCATCGATAATCGGAACCATGGCGCGACCCCATCCTATATTTTGCGCCTGGCTGTTTGTAGATCATCTCGTGAACTTTAGCCAAGAAAGGCTCATCAACAAAGGTCAATCGGGCTAAACCGAAGCACCCCGTTATGCGTTATGGAGTCATAGTCTCAAGCCCCATTACCGCCGTTGGAAATTTGGTCTTATGGGTAGTACTGTTCGTTGTGCAATACCCTTGTCGCTAACGAATCTATATGGGCACTGGCATCTGGGGCATCTTTAATCATGTAGTTTACTGGTACTTGACGGAGGGCATTTGCAAACCGAAAGACCTCGCATGTCCCACAGCCACGGAACGCTTCGACTCCATCGACAGAACTGGTCTCAGAGAGTCCTGCAACTTGCAATAGTTGAAGCTGTTCTCAGCTATCGTCCTAGGCAGCCATTGCAGTAGCAACGGGGGGTTGCCTTATCTTGCCACACACCTCGATACCCCGATGCCCACATCTGGTGCAACCAGCAGCCAATCAGGGCAACATCAGCTACCTAGTGCTTATTCTGGATGGTGGTTGGTCCTCCAACGATGCTACGCTGCGGATGGCTCCTCGTGACAAGGCTGAGAACATCACGCTGCCCGCAGCACACGGTGTGAGCGGAGGACAGAAGCTGTTCAAGCCGGTTTTCTCTGCTACATCTCGCTCTCCCTTTCTGAGGCTTCTTTGTACTGCTGCTCCCTTGCTGAAATCCGGCACCAGAACTGACGCGACATGGACAAGTCTGTCCCCGCCCGCGACTTCACTGTCGGCTGGGTCTGCGCTCTGCCCATCGAGCTGGCAGCCGCGACCGAGATGATGGACGAGGAGTTCGCCGAGCTCCCTTCTCAGCCAAATGATTCCAACGTTTACTCCTTTGGCCGCATCGGAGTCCACAATATCGTGGCTGCCTGCCTACCCGCCGGCCAGATGGGCACAAACCAAGCAGCTACAGTAGCCAGCCAGATGAAAACCAGCTTCCCCTCGCTGCGGTTCGGCGTGCTAGTTGGCATCGGCGGCGGCGTCCCAGATCTCGGCAACGGTATTGACATCCGTCTTGGCGACGTCGTTATCAGCCGGCCAACGGGGCCGTATGGTGGAGTGATCCAGTATGACTTCGGCAAGACTGGGGCAGACGGTCGCATCGATCGCACCGGTAGCCTGAATGCGCCACCAACGATCCTTCTCAACGCCTTATCCAAGCTCAGCGCAAACGACCTTCGCCAAAGGACAAAAGTCTCCAAGTACCTAGATCAGCTCTCCAAGCAGCCAAAGTTTGCGTCGCCAGGCTCTAAAAATGACACTCTCTACCTTGCATCATCGCTACACATTGGTGGAGCTACATGCGCAAAATGCCGTCCACAAGACATAGTGGACAGGGACGTACGCCCGACGACAGAGCCGGTTCTTTTCTTCGGCAACATCGCTTCTGGGAATCAGGTGATGAAGGATGGGCCGACGCGCGACAGATACAGTCAAGAGCTGGGAGGTGTCCTGTGTTTTGAGATGGAGGCAGCCGGCCTGATGAACAACTTCTCTTGCATTGTGATCCGAGGCATCTGCGACTATTCCGACGCGCACAAGAACAAACAGTGGCAACCGTACGCGGCAGCGACGGCAGCGGCGTACGCAAAAGAGCTGCTAAATACCATTCCATTAGTAGTATCGAACAATCCGAACAGGCCAGAGGGGCTAGAACAGCCAGAAGACCTAGGGGGACCAGAGAACTGTTAGTAAAGCACCCATTTGACAGCTCAAAGTCTAATGCCTACCAGCTCGTCAGACATCCCACGTTATCGTACCATTTGCACGTAGAGAAACACACGAACAAGAGCTTCGCGCTTCTGCTGCTAGAGATCGGGAGCTCCGCATCATTGCCGAAAGAGAACTCGAGGAGTTCAGACAGCAACCTAGGGAAATACAGCGCTTCGCCCCTGTTCGGGTTAGAGGTGGCCACGAAGAACATACACGTCGACAAGAAGCGGAAGGACACAGTGATGGACCGAACACCGTCAAGGCGAGACCGAATTCTGCACCGTTGACCAGCTGGGCGGGACCCACTACGTCTGAAACGAAGAGAAGGCGGGAGAAATACAATGGACAGCCGTATAAGACGTTTGATTGCTATGATCCCAAGGTGTTCTTCAGCAGTCCAGGATGCGGACGGCCGTTTGATGTTGTTAATCCTGAGGGGGGAAAGATTCAATGTTGCTATTGTAGGAAGAAATGGACGATTTGGGGTAGGGGGAGGCTTCGTTAACGATGAGATTATGTACAAGATACCTAAATTATGTCCGCTTGTTAGTGTAATTCCACCAAGCTTTTCCTAGTCTTTCAATTTTCCTCTCCATCCGATTGCTTTACACTATACACGTGCAGGTCCAGAAACAGGGGACTTCAAAAAGAACCCCAACCGTAGTGCCAAAGCTTGATCAATGTAAGGGCTATAACCGTTAGCTCGAAGTTGTTACTAGCCATAGTGAAGCTTTGCGTAGATTTTCTAATGATTTACTATTAATGTCTTTTTCTCAGCCAGTACATCAGCCCTCTTACACTACGCTTGTTTAGCACCGTTTGCTATTCAAACCCCAATTGTGTCATGGTGCTACTGATGAGTTAACTGTAATCATTATTGCCGGTATTAAAATTTCCTAAGTTCCTAGACCAGAAGCAGTTCATTGACGAACAAGAGTCCAATCTGAACCGGAAGTCTAATTATCGAATAACCCTGCCCTTGACCCTCGCCCACTTCTAGCCCGTCTCAATCTCCAATCCTCCTCTTCGTCCTCCAAAAGCCTCTGACCGGGCAATCTCACAGCCCGGTCTAGAGCGACGGGTAGTCCTCGATGGCGTCCTCTCAACATAACGAGGCACAACACAAGCTTGCTTCCCGCATGCCAACCGCCGGAGAAGCTCATGGCATCCTTGGGGAGTCCCACTGAGATGCCCACGCATCCGTAGCCAGAAACCACTTCGAAGACGACGTTGAAGACGGAAAAGTGCACCGGGTCTTCCAAGAAATGCGACGTCTCGATGGTGACAATGATGAGCACGGCAAGTGTAAGCAACCAAAGGTCGTGGGCGAGCTGTCCACGAATCTGCTGGCTTACAAAACTCGTCCGAGACTCGAAGCCATCAGACGTCTTAGGTTTGGCCGCACCGACACCAGCAAAGCTGAGGTTGTCTTTGATTAGTTGAGTAAGGAACCCGTTTCCATCAGAGTGCTTTCTCTCCCCGGCGGAGGAGGAACTCAGAGGAGCCTCGTCATCGGCGTAGATACCCAGAGAGCGTTCTTCGTAGACGTTGGAGTGGCGCATCGTGATGACAACGGGGTAGACGGAGATGTACATCATGATGACATACAGAACCTGTAGCCCGGGGTAGGCGGAGGCGATGGGAATGACGTAGAAACCACCCGACCGGACAGCTAAAGGGGCGTTAGTCAAACAAGAACCATGGACAGGTGGCGTAAGGGCCAAGGTGGTTTCTTACCAAAGGCCTGGAACAGACCGTCCAGAACCCGGGCGCCGATAGGAATCGATTCAATGATCGGGTTGCCGATGTTGAGGACCTCAAATGCCATCCAGTCGATCCCATTCGTCATGACCACCATGAAGAACAGCCACCATGTTGGTCTCGATGGGAACAGGTTTGTGTATACCCGTCGCGGGTACTTGAGGATGAACTCCAACGTACTCTTCAGCTCCACATACGTTCCTTCCCCGGTGGTGAGCCGTAGCCCCTTCAACGCGGACCAGAAGATAAGTCTCAGAAACAGCGGGTACGCCGTGTTGCCCGCAAGAATCAGTAGGCCCATGGTAACGAGCACGAAGTACGCCTGCTGGAAGGGTACCATGTTGGCGTCAAGGAGCGACATTCCCGAGTTGTTGAACGCCGAGACCGCGAAGAAGATGCCGGCCCACCAGGGATTCGCGCCGTTGGATGTGGCAACTGTCGGCATGTTATTCGCTATCCAGGCTCCGAGGGCCAGGCTGCCGAGGACTTGCCAGAGGACGGAATACAGCGGCACAACGACGGACAACAGGCGAAGGGCGCGGTATTCATGGCCACCGAGCCGGGACCGTTCGGAGGCCGTGAGAGAGTGGAACTGGGCGTTGCGGCCTTCTTTGGTAGAGCTGAGAAACGAGAGCCACGGGCGGGTGGGCTTGATGCTCGAAGACACGGATTGCGTTGAACGGCGAGTGAGGTTTTCGGACGTATCAATCGTGATGTGGTTGCCCGTGGATCGATGCTGGCTCGAACCCCCCAGATCCATTACCCCGGTCACGCTTGCCTCGCCCTTGGCTCTAGGCGCAGCATCACCGCGGTTGAACATGGGTAACCGATTATGCTGCTGATCTCTTTCTTTCTCGGCCTGGACCGTCTCCCGGAGACTCTTCTCAAAGACGTGCTTCCTTGCCACGACCGTCCAGATGGAGACCCAGACGGAGCTTCCGACGATGATGAGCAGCCAGAGCATTACCTGCTGCCACACGGTCATCTCGCTGAGGTTGACGGTGTTGAGGCCGGCCTCCGTCATGGCGGAGACCACGAGGAAGAGCGAGTCGACATAGCTGATGCTACCGTGCGGGTTGGACGAGGCGTAGAAGATTACCGACGCAAGGAGGGTCGTGCCAATGAAGTAGGCGTAATGCAGGGTTATGAAGTTGAGGGGCGGGAGGAATGAGCGGAGGCCACTGCTTATCGAACGACGAGAGTTTAGAGTGTCGCAGCCCTCCGCTTCCGTGCGACGGTTGTCATCATGGTTCTGGCCGCGTTGATCAAGACTCGCCGGTCTCCGCAGATGAGATGACATCGTATTTAGCTGCGCTTCTGACCCTGCAAGCCTAGACCTTTGCCCAGCCGGGAAGGAAATTAGACTCTCGAGTCCGCGATGCCAAGCAGAACAGGCCACGCCCGCTGCACGAAAGCCAAGACCGAGTTGAAGGGTTGAAACTAGTCTCTTCAAGTCCTCGTTCCCTGCTCAAGCAACGTGTAAACCACTACGCCTGTCGATCGCCAAGCACCTGTCAGTGATTGAGTTTTCGGCGCATCGACCTTTTTTGTTTTCTTTTAGCCTTTGTCCAGCACACAGATTGTCGGTGAAGAGGCGCCAGGGGGTGGATTCGAGCCACTTGACCCCGGCGAGTCATTCGTCCATTTGGGCGGCAAGCGTCGCACTAGAACAGACCGCCGGCCATTAAGTCGTGGCTCTTTCATCTCGCTTGGCACGTGGGCCCACCGAGGTCTGTTCTCACCGAGACTCTTCACCGACGACTTATACTGGGCGCCCAACCTCGATGCAACTCTGTTCGGGTTTTCTTGGATCCGCATCTCGTCTTTGGACACAAACATGGGTGAATGCTGGCCTGTTCGTCCGATTAGGATTGCGGGACTCGCGATAGGGGCATCTCACTTGTTATGCCCAAACCCCTCGATTTTTGAAGCTAAGATGAAACTAGTTAACCCCTGAGGTCGGCCTCTTTGTCTCAACGACCACTTGGCTGGAGGTTTTGTAAGAGAGGCTCTCCCTCGACAAGAAACGATGAATTGTCACATCACATCACATCACGAAGCGGCAGAAAAAACATTTGTTCAGGCAAACCAATTGATTCAAACATCCTACTCAAGAACACCTAGCTATCATGTCCAGTGACACCAAACCCAGCCAAGTGAAACCAAAGCTCCTGAAGTCACCTTTTCCGTAACGTACACATGCCATGCTCATCGGTGTGTAAAACCGGTATGAATGTAGATAGACAAAAGAAAAACAACCCCTCATAAGCCCCCTTAAAGACTCTATCTGTCAACCGCCCATGGCTTAGAAACCGAGGAGCTTGTTGAAGGTGTCGGCGACAGCAGCGCTCTTGTCGCCGGAGGCGGCAACCTGGGCCTGGGCGTCCTTGCAGAGCGTCTTGGCAGCGGCGTTAGCGTTGCAGACGTTGGTGAGCTGGTCGCAGATGCGGTTGGTGATGATGTTGGGGTTCAGGGCGTCCTGCTGTCCCTTGGCGACGACGGGGTCGGTGGGAAGGAAGGTACCCTCGGTCGCCTTGCGGCCTGGACGGCCGAGCTGGAAGTCCATGGTGGGAGTGCAGGTACCGAAGTCAGCGGCGCCGGTGTCGGCGTTGGCGTCAGCGTTGTTCCCGGCGTTGTTGTTGTTGTTCTGGTTGTTGTTCTGGTTGTTGTTGTTGTTCTGGTTGCCGGCGTTGCTGGTCTGGTTGCCGGTGTTGGCGTTTGCGTTGTCGGCGGCTCCGCCAGTAGCAGCGCCACCACAGTCGTCAGCAGCGTTGTCGGCGGCGTTGTCGGCGGCGTTGTTGTTGTTGTTGTTGTTGTTGTTGTTGTTGCCGGTGTTGGCGTTGTTGTTGCCGGCGTTGTTGTTGTTGCTGCCGGTGTTGGCATTGCCTCCAGTGGCACCGCCAGCAGCCTGGCCCTTGATGGTGAAGTTGGAGAAGCCCTGAGCCTGCATGACCTCGGCGACGGAGAGGCCGGTGGCGTCGAAGGGGGTGGTCAGCGAGGTGGCCGAGTTGGCGTTCTCGGTGTCAGCGCCGACGACGGCCGGGTCAACCTTGGGCACGATGCCGCGGAGGGCCTCGGTGGCGGGGAGAGAGGCGTCGCCGCAGATGGAGGGGGTGCTAACGGCGAAGGGGTTGAAGTTCTGCTCGGCGGCGACGACGCCCTTGGCGGCCTCGAGAACGTCGTTGCCAGTGCCGAGGGCGGCGATCTTGTCAGCGAGCTGGAGCTTGGCGCAAGGGTCGGCAGCAGCGAGAAGGACGCCGGGGACGCCTCCAGCCAGAGTGGCGGCTTCACCGGGGGAGCCAGCCTGGAGAGACTGGACGGCGGCCACGGGAGCCTGCTCCTGGCCGAAGCGGGCTTCGACACAGGCCATGATGGCGGAGATGAGGATAAGCTTGGTGTAAGACATGTTGATGGTTGGCCTGGGTGTTCTGGGAATAGACAGTAGTGTCGAAAAGAATCGAAGTTGTATAAGTTAATGTAAAAGATTGTAAATGACCGGCTAGCGGTTGGTAGTTGGATCGAGACAAGAAAGAGTGTCAAGAACGTTAAAAAAAGTTCGCAGAACTGAAAGATTGAAGAGGAGAGAAGGATGTTTGTTGGTTGCTGGATGAGGAAGGGAGGGAAGCAGATGAGATGACAAGCCGGGCCAACTCCATTATATACACGAGAGACAGAGTCGACGGCGAGTTGTTTCCATGAGGCCAAGACTCTCGAGCATGGGCGAGAAGGGGCAGCCCGAGACAGCCTGCGACGATGACACTCCGTGACGGGCATCCCCCATCTCTTCTCACGACCCTCTACAGCTTGGCCATGTCGGTCGTCGGATGGTAGCGAGGCTCAAGGCCTCTGGCTCCTTGCTCGGATCCAGCAAACACCGTCATGGGACGAAACCAAAGCCGTCAGTCCCTGGGGCCATGAAGAGGCACTGGCCACCATCCCTTAACGACGATCATACTGCATGGTTAGGATGGAGTACCGCATGGTGCAGCCAGGACGTCACGGCCGGCACGGTGGCCCATGCCGTCGCATGTGCCCCAACCTGTCGTCCCAACTCGCCTCACACGTAAAGTTTGTCTCATGTCGCCGGGCTGAGGATTGGCGTCAGGGACGGCGAGGGTTCTTTTGCTCGGGAGTCCAGCCGAAGGGGCATGGAGGAGGCGCTTTACAGCCTAGGTTATGCTGCGCTGCTTTGCTTCACGATGCGCCAGCTGCCACTGGTAAGCCGAGTAGGACCGCTTAAGTCGAGTCAAAATCGGTTAAGCACAGCCGGCCCCCCAGTCGGGACCCAGTCGGGGGGGTCTTTTGAAGTTTCGCAAATGACCAAGAGAGAAGACCAGTAGAGGTGAAGTGAAGAAGAGAGAAACCCGACTTGCCGGATATGGCCATCTGGAGGCGAAAGGGGAGACAAGAAGGGGGTCTCTGCGCGGCAGCAACGTGCCAGGCGCCTGTTCGAGGATTAGCGCGCCCCTCCCGCGCCCCGCCGGTCAAGCGTAACAACATCCCTGCAGCAGTCTGTTTTTTTTCCCTCTCGCCCTCTCTCTCGGCGCTGGTGGCCGGGGAGGGAGACCGAAGACGCGGTCATTCCCAGCACCCTAAAACTGCCCTAGCATGCTCCAAAACGCGGAATCACCAAGTTTATCCACTATTTTTTTCTCGTGTCCTCTACCGTTACATGGCTTGAGGATGTGCGGCAGGCTTGACTCTAAGTCTAAACCTCCCCCCAGCTTGGACCGATGGGAGGAGTAGGGGGGCGACGAGGGGGTTGCGACGCGATGCCTGGACGGTTTGGAGCTTGTGTCTGGTAGGAGGGGAAAAGGACGACGATGAGGTGGTTTCAAAGGTTCTGTGACGCCCAAGACGAGTTGCGATGACATCGTTATGCTCACGAGAGCTTAGGCTTTAAACTTTCTGGTGGCGAGACGGCTGAGCCTACGGCCCAGTGTCATCTGATGAACAAGTAGTCAGAATCGATCCGCAAGCAAACCTGTCAAAAGTATGCGTAGTGCCGGAGCGAGAAGCCGTACTCACAGCGTCCTGCACGAGTCGTAGCATTAAGCTCTTGAAGAACCATGGGTAGGAGTAGGGAGGCTGACAAGCTTAGCGCCAGGCACATCTTGGATGGTGGAGGGTTAATCAAAATGCAATTTATCGCCAGTGCTTGTATTGTGGGTGGCAGTTTGGCTTCCCCCCCGGTCGACAGGTCCGATAAATTAACTGAGCCCGGGGCTCCGGTATTCAACTTCCCCAGGCGACCCAGCAGCCTAACAGAGAGCTTGTTTGGATGTCCGCTCGTTGATAACCGTCGCCGGCATGATTGAATGTCAGCGGTAAGCTGAGTGCAACGAGAAACAAGTCGACGTGATCTGCGCGTTGCCGAACTCTGACGCCAACGACTGTGCTGCTGCTCAGCATTAAGACGGTTGCTTGTCCATAACGCGACTCTCCCTGTCGCTGATCCGGATGGACTGGATTGTGTGCTTCACTGGCAGCTGTCAGTCTCGCTCGGCTCCAGCATCGTCACCAGTTGCCCTTCTTGCTCAGCTCTCGCCCGTTTTCGCTCCCCCTCCCCCATTGCTTTTCAGCCAGCGCCTAGCGACAGTTGCGGCAAAGGATCATCAGCCGGTGGGGGTGACATGGTAGATGGCAACGCTGACCCGAGGCCCCATGGTCCGGAACCGGCTCGCTGCGAAAGGCGGCTCAGCGGCACACGCCGTGACACTGTACTCCGGCAAAAGACGACCCGGGTCCTGGCTAAATTGCCTTGCTTTGGGTAGTTTACCAAGAACAGCAGGTCAACAGACAGCCGCTACGTCCAGCCACGAGTTGCGATCTCGCAGGGGTCTGTGCCAACGTTGGCCGTCTGTCCAGCCAACCCCCCAGATCCGATCGCATCGATCAAACAGCCTCACCAGGGGTCCTGAGACAGGTCCAAAACTTAATGGGTCTCGATGCAACCAAACACCACAGCAATATTCCTCTTCGGGCTTGCAAGTCCATTGGCCCCAGCAATTCGTGCCGCGCTTCTCAGACACAGGAGCCAAGCGGCTGGTCGACTTCTCTGCCCTTGCGTCCCTGTTGTCCAGGCCTCGCTCAGCTCCAGCATCTTGAGTTGCCGTCCGTCGGGGTCTGGGCCCGTCAGTCCGAAGCGAGGCGAGGCGAAAGGCTCATTTCAGCTTCACCGCCAAGAGCCCATGTTTGATCTGTGCTTCCTCTCACCGATCTTGTCTGCTTTATGCTTCTCTCGAGACCCTTCAGTAGGCGCTGGTGCAACTCATGTCATCTTGGAATAGAGGCATGCCGCCTTGGCAGGGGCGCGGTGTTGAAGCTGTGTGTCGACGCCGCGTGTCGGAAAGTAGTTCATTCCTGTGACGAAAAGACATATGTTACGTGTCAATCTTGTATGGCGATGCTTTGTGATGGTTTGACGACTGCAGCACGCTTCTTCGCGGTACGCAGCACCGAAAAGGCAATGATCTCGTTGCCTCTTGGTCCGAAAAGGGGCCAGAACTCGGGGCTCCCCTGAGCGTGGAAGCGAGTTGCACCTCGGCGGACACGAGGACGAGGTTCATAAGGGGGATCGCTCGCCTCAACCTTCCATCGAGTCAAGGCCTTTCATTCCGCTTCGTTCTCAATCTCCTTTGCATAACATGATCTCCCCAAGCCTCCCCGGCGCAGGCCTCGCCTAACTCCCGCCATCGACTGGACTCGGTGACTTTCCATCTGAAGTCAGGATGGCAGGCCTCTCTAGCTTTCCTGCCCTTCTGCTGTACTGTAGATCAGGCCTACCGGCACGGCACAGACCACAGCCACTCTCCGCCCGTAGGCCCATCCGTCCGAAGACCGCTGAGCCATTCTCCCGCACAACGGGTATTACGTGCTACTAAGGCGAGCAGTGGCCGGCGCATTACGCTGCCGTCCACTTGCATTTCGGTCTGGTTTTCATCCGATCTCTGGAGAAACGGTGGGTTCTCTGCCCACCTGGACCATCATGCGCAGCGCTCACGCCAATCCGGCCCTGTCATTCTGGTTCTGCTTTGCTGGGCGGTCACGACCCATCTACCGCATTAAGCGATTCGTGAGGGAAATGACAAGATGACCAATCTGCAAGTCAGCAGCTGACGACAGCGATTGCACCACACGCCAGTGTCATATAAAGACCAACCTGCTGCTGGTTGGTGCCACAGTGTTTTCTACCGATACGGCCGGTGCTGGATCCCAGAAGCCAAGAGGAGAAAATGAGTTATCAAGTCTAGCGATTCAGTATTGATTATGACGGCATAACCGGTCGCCAGAAAGCGGCGCGTTGTTACGTAACTTGCGCAACCATTTACTGTTGTTTTCCAGCTGCCCGCCACTTGCATACGACTCTTTTCTTCTCTATATTACTCTAGTGTTTTTGATGTCTCTTGTGTGGGACTCTCGAGATTTTAACCATCGGACGGTAAGGGTTCCCGATGTTTCTGCTGACATCTGATACCGCATAGTATACCATGTTTTGTCCCAGAGGTCACGTCATTGATTCTCATTGATGCAACATAGTCACTCGCAGTCTCGTTAAAAAAACATGTCAATTCTTCGCATGTATGATTATGTTGTTCACGCTTGGACGTACGGCCCTCAGCCTCCTACCCATCAAGTACTGGGTATCATATACTATGTTCGCCCACTGGTAATTATATCCTTGTCTCGCTTCGTCCATCAACCAACCTTGTGCTGTGCAAATCGAGGCGTCAGATCTGGATTTTTCGTCCTCAGTGCATGAGCCACGTCTCGCCGGAGGCAAGACCCTGTGTGTTGTAACCAATCGTGGGTAAGTCACAAGCATCTGGTCCAATGTTTTGAATGCCTATGACTCTCCGCCTCTTCGAATGGCATCACGCAAACGTATTACTAGTCTGACAGCGAACGTTAATATCCTTAGTCGTCTCGCCCCTGATTCAGGGAGGACAGCAACCCTCGGCATTGGCTTCTTGCAAATTCGTGTACTTGTCCAGCTCTTGCTGAGGAGCTGATGAAGTTGTGAATCTCTGGAGAGCTCCGATAGATCTGCTCGGACAGCCTGCTAACGGATGAGCTCTCCCAGCTCAGACATGGCGTTTTGCACACAAAAACGATGGTAGTGATTCGTATCATGTTAGATTCGCCGAGGCAAATACTCATGTGACTGACACAAGACAAGGACTACCACCATATCCAAAGCAAGCTTGATTCTACGTGAACGTTCCTACGACTGCCTCCGACCTTGACCATGACGAAACCAAACCAGGCAGAATTCCCCTGAAGAACTATGATCTTGGAATGGACAAAGTCGCTTCGTTGGTTTTTGTTGTGGCTTTGAACCAAGAGCTACGATGGGCTTTTCCAGTAACAGCTGGCGCTCGTAGTCTTGCAGACGACAGACCCGAT